TCTCCTAATAATCCATGCCATAAGTCTAAGCATAACCCTTGGCAACCAACCAGGCCTTGTAACGAGCAACTGACCCATCTGGATTATGCTTAACTGTAAACACCCAAGGACAACCCACAGCCTTTCGTCCAATAGGAAGCACAACTATGTCCCAAGTCTAATTTTTCTCAAGTGCTTGTAATTCTTTTGTCATAGCATCACGCCATTGAGGTTGTGCTAGTGCATCTGCAACCCTAGAAGGAAGAGGAACCAAGGCAACAGAAACAAAAAAAATCCGATAAGAGGGTCAGAGAGCATAATCAGAAACAAAATTAGAAATAGGGTATGTACAAGAACGTTTACCCTTTCGAAGAGCAATGAGGCGATCATCAAGCGAAACAATAGCTTGAGAAGGCGGAGCTGGTGCCGAAGGAATAGGGCAATCGATTGTGGGAGTAGAAGCTTGTACCTGTTGTCTTCGACTATAAACCTGTGAAAAAGGAACAATTCCCCCTGTTGGAGGGGTATCATGAGGAGGAATCATAGAAGACGAAACAGGTAACGGTAGAGGAGTTGAAGACGGAAGAAGGTGATCATCCATTATATTCAATAGGAACCATTCACTTTGAGAACCATCTGAACCACTATAGTATGGTGTATGCTCAAAGAAAGAAACATCCATGGATATAAACCGCCGACGACTGGGAGGATGGTAACACCTATAACCTTTTTAAGAGTGAGAATAGCCCAAAAACACACACTTCAAAGCCTTGGGGTCAAGCTTTGTACGAGTTTGCCCCAACTGCTGAACAAAACACACACACCTGAAGGCTCGCGGAGGAATAAAAAAAAAAGAGATGAATTGGGATATAAGATTGAGAGTGGGGCTGCACTGTAAGAATTGCATCTCCCCAAAATGACTGGGGAACATTCATGCCAATGCAGATTGCTTTGGTTAAGTCAAGGATGTGGTGATTCTTTCTCTCAGAACGGCCATTACGTCGAGGAGTTTTAACATTAGCCATCTGATGCTCAATCCCAAATTCTGTACATAATCGTTGTACCTCCCGATAAGTGTACTCTGTACCCTGGTCAGATTTGAATTTTTTAATGTTACGACCATATTGTGTCTGAACCATTGTCATAAAAATTTTAAAAATGGTGTATCCCTCATTTTTTGTTTTCATAAGGTAAACTTATGTAACATGACTATGATCATAATGAACAACACGAAATATCGAAATCCAAGACTAGAAGTAACTGGGCAAGGAGTTAAGGACCCCACACATATGAATGAACAAGATCAAAAGGTGTTAGAGCAGATTTATTATTACTAGCAGGATAATTGGAACAAACATGTTTAGCCATATGACATGTCTCACAAGATAAATCTGACACTTGCACGTTACAAAATAAGGAAGGAAATAAATGTTTTAAATAACCGAAAGAAATATGTCCTAAACGCATGTGCCAACGCATAAGCTGGGCTTTATTAGATGAAGAGCGTTTGGTAATGCTACTAACAGAAATAAGATTTGTAGTCAATTGTGGAACATGAAGTGTATCTGACAAAGTTAATGAAGGAGTAACTGATATGTGACCCTTCCCAGCAATTGAAGATGGAGAGCCATCTACAAGGCGTACCTTGCGATGGCCAGAGCAAATACTATAAGATTAGAAGAGTGAGGACATACCAGTCATATTGTCTGAAGCACCAAAATCAATATTCCATGGTGTCGAAGATGTAGATACGCTATGTGCAGACGCAGTAGTACCTGAGTGGGCATAAGTGGAGGTTGGCTGGGATAATGCCTCCATTTGGTTGAAGAATTGCTTGAACTGGTCCAAATTAGCTTGAGTTAAGGTAACTGTGGCAGAAGATGTAGAGGTAGAGTTGTTAGGAGGTAACAATGAGACTGGTTGTGTAACAGAATGTGCAAAGGGTCGAGGCTGTTGTTTCTGTTGCGGTGGGCGTCCATGTAGAGCATAACAACGAGATTTGATGTGACCAATTTTATTGCAATTGTCACAGCGTCGGCATTGTTGTCCCGGAGGAGGACCGGTGGTAGAGCTCTGAAATGACTGGGATGGTCAGTTGCTGAAAGGTTGGGAACCCGAACTGCCATAGCAGAACGATCAGCAGAAGCAACACTTAATGGATGAGTCCGACGGCTCTCATCTGACAACACATAGGAGTATGCATCCTCAAGGGTAGGGAATGAAGATAAGCCCAATAAATGAACATGAGCATATTCAAACTCGTCGTTCAACCCGGCAAGAAACTGAAACACTCGATTCTTCTCCACAATCCCTGTATTTAAAAATGCATCATCTTGTTCCTTCCAAGAGTGGAAGGAATCATAATATGACATCTCCTCCTAAATAGCACGAAACTTGGCGATGTAACCTGAAACTGTCAAGTCATCTTAAGAAATCCTGGTGATATCTCGCTCCAGCTGGAAAATTCGTGCATTATTCTGCCTTTGACAATAAGTGCGTTGAATTGAATCCCAAATCTGCTTAGCAATCTTCATAAACATATAGCCAACAACTACGTTTGGTTGCATCGAATTGACTAGCCAAGACATAACCATAGCGTTATCTTGTGGATATGCCTTCTCTGACTCGGCTGGCTCTTTCTCAGAACCAGTAATATAGCCAACCTTTCCTTTACCACCAATGAACATCTTGGCAGACTGTGCCCAAATCAAATAGTTGGAACCATCCAACTTCACTTTGGTGATTTGAAGTTCTGGATTTTTTGATGAGTTGGTGGGAAAAATGACCACCACCACCCACAGATGAGCCAAGAGAATTAACAGTCGAGGGCTCTGAATTTGCCTTAATCTGTTTCACGACAATAAAAAACTCCAAAAACACCACAGGTTCTGTTAATAAATCAAAGGGTTTCCTCCGACCATAAATAATAACAATGTATGCTCAAACCATTCCCGAAAAATCCAAATACATACCTTTTTTAAGGAGCGCTGTCTGCTTACATATAATTAGACAGCCTCCTCCTTAATATTCGGAACCTATTTGTAGACTAAATTTTTTTTTTTTTTAGCCAAGCCCTTCTAGGTATTGGAGACCAACTATCCCAATTTACCCAACCCTAGAAGAGTAAAAATTTAATTGTAAAACTTTAAAATACCTGTTTTCGATTAAAAAACAACACCACAAAAAAACATATGTAGGCAACGGCACACGATGTCACAAACAGCCTAAGGTGGCTATTGCACAAGTAGCAAGGCTGCTGAAAGGTGTGGAAAGGTGTTGGCTCTGATACCAAGTAGAAATATAAAAAAAAGAAAAATGAGAGAATTGTATAAAGACTTGAATGAGATGAATCACTCATTCACAACTATAGTAGTTATAGATAAAAAGGGCACATACTCATATTACAAGAAAGGAAACTAAATCAAATCACAACATATTCTAAAACATATTCTATGGCATATTCTATAGCATAATCAAAACTCTGCTAATATGGTAAACCATTCCATAAATCATGGCTATCATATATGCTAACATATGCATAGTCAAATCTCTGCTATTATGATAATAAGTCATTCCATAAATCGTGGATATCATATATATACTAACACATACGCTATTGTATCTTTTACTACTTACCAACCTAATTTTATTTGGTCTTCCCCATCTGGCGCTCCTGTTAATGTGGATGTTACTCTCCTTTGCTGGTTCAGCTGTTGGTTTTTGGTACATATTGTCAAACTATCTTTGTCGATTCTTTCATTTTATCTTCATTGGAAGCCATAATCCCAAGAATTATTCATTTTATAATTTTATTCTTTCTCGTCTATAGAGGCCATTGCCTAGTGCAATGGTAAAATGCTCGGGTTCTCAAGCATGAGAATGAGGGTTCAAATCTTGAAAGCATGTCCTTTGTAATAAAAAAATTAAAAATAAAAATGCTAAAGGTTCAAGTCTGTCCAGTCTGCCCCTCCAGCTCCCTCAATTAATGGGGACCACAGTGTGTAATGACGCTTTATGACCTATCATTTCTTGTCTATCCGCACATCCATCTTAACATAAATATTCCAATTGCACTTGTTTTATTAACATATTAGTTCTTATTCATCCAGCAGTGTCTCATATTGCATGATGGTGTACTAGTTGCTTTATAGAATTTACCTTTTAGAAGCACTCCTCTACTTAACTCGTCTTTGTTTTTGAGTAACATCATCTTTAATCACTCCCTTGTTAATTATCAAGTTTAGGTGGGGGGAAAAAATTGTTCTCTTTAATCTTCAATGTATCCTATCTGTATTTCTAGTTTTGTAAAGTTATAATACATATATTCACTTTTTTCCTATTTATCTCCACTCTAAATCTTCCTAACTCTTCTCTTTGGTTTAATACTATCGGTAAATAGCAAAAACCATAAAACGTCATGTGAATGTGCCTAGTGACTGTGACTAAGGCGAAAAGGCATGGTCATCCAATTTTTAAAAATATTTTATGCTGTATCTTTAATGTTTCAAATGTACTTTCTTTTTGTTTTTTTTTTGTTTCTGTTTGTCTTTTAATTCAGGCTCTCTATTAAATCTAATACCATTGGCCGTACTCTTATATTTCTTCAATTGGTTATCTCGTGAATAGTCTGCATTGAACCTCTACAAACATGACGAATAAGAATGAAGGTAGATGATATCCCCTTGTCAGGCCTCTAAAGCTCTAAAACCAACTGAATTTGCCTGAGTTGGGAGTGTGGATTCAGAACATAGCAAGATAAATAATTGAAGTCCCTGCCAAAATTTTATTGAGTCTTCTCTAACAATATGCTTACTTCCCAAAAAAAAGAAAGGAAAAAAAGAAGGGCTGAACTGCTTTGTCTGTTTGTTAACAAATGTAAAAGGATGAAGGCTCCTCTGTAAAGCATGGTTCGACAGACATTTGGCTGACACATGCTCAGAGGCTTCCTCATATGTTGCATGCATACATGAAATCTCATCCTTTGATTCTCACTCTGTTCGTCTTTCTGATCATGTTTGCAGGAAGAAAAGAGGAAAATGGTTGCGTCTGCTTTTGGTGAAGATCAAAGTGGGGGCTCTGCAACTCGTTTAACAGTGGAGGACCTCAAGTATCTGTTTATGGTCTGAAATTCCTTTGATTATCTGCACTTGGTTTCTACTATGCCTTGTTTTTTTTGCTCAGCCGGTTTCTCTAGAAAGGAAATGATGTGCAACAGTTAAAAGTGAACCCGAGACCAGAGGATATTTTTTGGTAGTAGAAACTATTGGTGTTGGTGCATTTGTTTGCATGAGTCGAATAGCCCAAACAGCATTTTTGTTCTTGATCGAGTGCAGATAGCGAGCCAACCTCTGCATGTAAATATTTTATTTAAGTTGTCTAGTTTAACTTCCCTGTTTTTGCTCTCGCCAAACATATTTATGACCATCGTAGCATATGGGTCGGAAGTGGGGTTATCTGATGGAGCTTGTCCATCGGGAGCAACTGTGATCATGTGTGTGAACACAAATTTATAGACCTACACACATTTTTTGGCTGGCATCCTCTCAATGCAATGCTACACTGGGGGTCTTGGATGGAGTGATTCTGTTGGATCACCTTGGTTTTTGTTTTTTAAAGACTAAATTGTTGTTGGGATGTATATTCGATCAAATTTATGTTAACAACCTTTTAGAGCTCGGAAGATTTCTGACGGCGATGTGATTAACTTGTGCTCACCGAAGTTGATCCAACCGATTACTCCGTATTTGCCAAGTTCAATTGGTTCCCACGAGTTTCTTTTGTTCTGCAATATTATGTATAAAATGTTTCGAGGGGAAAGACATCTGAATTTCATGGGTCACAATTGATTGATATGATGGCAGTTGAACAAGTATTGTTATTGATATTTTCAATGTGGACGAGTTACTTTCCAATGGCTGCGCTGTGAGACTAAAATACTTTTTTATCCACATTCTGTTAATGGATAAGTACACCCACCTCTGCTAGGGTTAACAAACAAGTAAAGTACATTGCAGTCAAGTTATTGAAACTTCTTCTCCCAACTACATGGGCAATAGGGCATTCAATTGTCCAACAGTCGGAAGCATGTCCTAAGCCTGTCTCAAATTGAATTTTCAAAATACCCTATTAATGACAAATAAATTAAATTAACAAAATAATATTTTTTTATAATTTTTTCAAAATAAATGGTAATGGTGGCGGTGACGATGGTAGTGGAGGTGGAAAGCAGTTGTGGGGTTGGATGGTGGCGATAGTGGCGGTGAAAGGCGGCAATGGTGTTGATGGAAGGCGGTAGTGGTATGGGTGGTGGTGGCCGAAAGCGGTGGTGGTGGCAGTGAAAGGCGGTGGAGGCGGCGACAGTGTGGTAGTGATGAAAGGCGGCGACAGTGGTTGCGGTGGTGGTGGAAGGTGGTAGTGGTGGCGACAGCAGTGGTGGCAGTGGTGATAATGGTAATGATGATAGTGGAAGGTAATGGAGGTTTCGATGGTAGTGGTGGAATGTGGTGGTTGGTGGTGGCGGTGGTGAAAGGCGGTGACAGTTGTGGTGAAAGGTGGTTGAAAACAGTGGTGGCGGAGGCACTGGTTTTTGGGCTTGAAACATGAGGGTTTTTGGGATACTTTTTTTAAAAAAAAAAATTTTACTTGGGAATGGAATGATTATTTCATATGTTTAGTTGTGAAATGAATTTTCTATCTAATGGAATAATTGAAATGGACAATTTATTTCATACCAAATGAAGGAATAATTGAAATGGACATTAATACGCAATATAAATGTAACCATTAGCTTTCATTCCTCTCACTCATGTTTGTTTGCCTACCCGACCCCAGTGTAATGGGCAGTGTTTAAGATTGTTATAAAAAAATTTAAAAAAAAAAAAAAAAATCAAAATTGAACGATTATTTGAATATTTAGAAATCGAAGATTTAATTTTTAGGGTTGAATATTAAATTGGTTGTATTTGGTGTTCGGAAGCAAGAAGGGAAACAAACCGGGTATCACTAATGCTTAACGGCAACTTGATTCAATGATTTGTTGGCCTTGGTTTGGGCTTTTTGGCTACAATGATTTGTTGGGCCCAAACGCTCTTTTTCTTTTTCTCTATTGGGCTGGATCATTGGACCAATCCAACTATGTACATATTTATTAACCTGCTTTTTATAAAAATAAAAAATAAAAAAATAAAAGAAAGGATTGACCAGTCAAACGGGTCATTCCTAAAAGAATTATATCAGAAACACAATTTTGATGGAAATGAATTTTGCACACCAGGTTAATTACAAAACATGGTTAAATTCCAAATAGTGAGTAAATTTATTTGAAACCAGGTACTAATATTTAAAATTAAAAAAAAAAAAAAAAAAAATTGTTAATGCGTGTAACAATATATTTAGATTATATATAGGGTATATATAGGGAGATGGTTATAATTAGGCGTGAGATTTTATGATGAGACAGTAGTGGTAGGAGAAAAGTAATTAGTTAACCATTAACAAGTGAGAATTTTGGCAATTATATAATTAATGTTCAACTGATTATTAAGCAGTAGTACAGTTATCTCCATTCTGATCTTGTACACGATGTTGAGGCTGACCATTAATCTTCAATGTAGAATGCTTTGCTTCATCACTCTTACCCCAGAGAAGAATATACAAACCGGTGATCACTAGGATAGATCCGATAACACTGTTTCATAATTGCCAAAGGAAAGGAGATATATATATATCAACAATGTTATTAGCTAGGATTATATATATATATATATATAATTTTAATGATCGAATTAAGTGAATACCTTCCCATATGGATTTGCTCATGTAGGATGGAGATGCCAAAAATGGCAACAAATATTTGTATGAAAGGGCTAAATGCAGCTGTGAAGACGGGTCCTCTTTGTTTGACACACCATGACATAACCACATAGCACAAGCCTGATCCCACCATCCCCTGTATGTAAGCATGTATGTATTCATTCATTCATAGTAAAAACCAATATATATATATATATATAAAATTAAAGAAGGCGGGAACAGCTAGAATAGTAGGTAGCTTACAGCAAAGATGACACTTGAAATCTCTAAGCTTCCCTTGAGGATCCATGTGGAAGTGTTCCTGTGGATGATCAAAGTCAAGAAAAGCGACTGAAGGGTACTGAAGGAGGACATGATGGCAGTGGTGGAATAGTGGCATGGGTAACTCTTTCCGATCCTTGCTTGGATAAGGAACCATGAAGACCACATGAGGCTGCCTGCAGTTAAAACTATGGACCCAATGCTCCATCTTTCACTCTCATTAAAATGACTACTATTACTATGTGTTGCATGCTTTCTATTCTCATCAACACCACCACCACCACCACTACTACTAACTCCTCCTCCTCCTCCTCCTCGTGCTTTCATTAATGGCATTCCTCTATAAAGCGTGAGTAATAACGCGCCTCCAATGCAAACCACTGTACCTAAAACCTTAGCAATACCATTCCTGCTTTTCATCTTCACTTTCTCTAGCCTGCATTTAGGTATATGTATGCATTTCCAGACTATATATTAACAAGCGAATTGATGGAAGTGGATATATATATATATATATATATATATATATATATATATATATGTATGTATGTATGTAGCTTACCCAAAAGGCAATGCCATAATAAATGTGTTTACAGGAACTATATTTATGAAAGCACATGTGAACGTTGCTGATGTGTATTCAAGCCCAACTAGGAAGGCGTATTGAGTTAATGTCGCCCTAATTAAACACATAAAAAATAAAAACACTCTTAATTACATATATCACAACCAACAGTAATAGCTCTATATATATATACACATCTAGTAATAATAAATTTATAAATATATCACTAACCCAACCAGCGCACTGAAGAAAAGATAACATAATATTCGAGCTGTAAGCTTAGGCCTGCTTTTCCTGCAACAAATTAATTAAATTCACTACACATATATACTTCTCAATTTGAAGCTAGAACCTACTGTTTGTGTGTGTGTGGTATATATATATATATATTCTGTAAAATACTAAAATCATGGAGCCAACAGAAAGTTATGTATTAGCTAAGATTAATCCTGAGGTACATATATTTATATATTAAATATAAAAAAGGGTATACATATGTAGTATTAACAACTGAGGTCGGCCATTTTAATATGGGGTAAAAATTAATAAAATGTTGTGTAGGTAGTTAATTTTCATAAAATGATGGAAAAGGAACATGATCGAGTACGGACCTTTCCATAAAGTATGCAACAGGGATCAAGAAAATAGCAGAAATAGACTGTCTGTATGTGACGATTACCAACTGGTTTATTCCTTGATTAAGGACCTTCTTAAGAAGTATGTTGACAACCGCCAAACCAAAATCAACACCCACCATTGCCAAAACTGGCTTCCACTGCTCATAACAACTCATATTAATTAATTTTAAGCAATCTGATCGATCGATGGATTTCACCACCGATCAAGCCGCGCCCCTCTTCTAGCTTAGTTTGTTTCTGTTTTCTTTGGTTTTAAAATGTATTGCAGTTACACACACACACACACATATATATATATATATTTTATAAATGGAAGGTCCTCCATCCCAAAAGCACTGGGAATATATAGATCGAGATGCTTAAAATCTCAAAATCAAATCATAATGCAATCAACTTTGCAATTCTATAACATATATTAATTGTATTCTCTCTTTCTACTCCCTAGCTTTACTGGTTCGTAGTTGGAGATTCTAGAATCAATTGCTAATTAGCTCATATTTACTTGTCATCGTCGCTCTCATGACGTACATACCTCGGGATTAATTCACTTGCAAGTTTTGTGTTTTCATTTTAGTTTTAAATTCTAGTTAATTAACCATATATGCAATGAACTTCGACGTCATATATATATATATATACAATTCATGAGTCTTTTTGCTGTTCATCGATACATATATATATATAAACATTTTTACAGAAAGTAGTTGCAGATAAGACTAATTAAGCATCTCATCCCCTTTTTGTTTTGTGCATGGCATCTAATAATTCTTTGAAAAGAAGAAGACCGGTTCCTTCCTTTGTTTTTATTATTATATATAATTAAAAGTAGGAACAAGATGTCTAATCGCAACATGTACGTATATGGTTGGGCAATGGATGCTCATGCACTCCACTGCACTGCAATGTCACGTACCTTATATATATATATTCTCTGCTATATATGTATATTCTCTGCTATATATATATATATGTGTGTGTATATATGTTGGAAAATTAACCATATATATGAACCAACTCAAGTGTGGAATAGATAAATCAATTTATGTGTGGAATACATGAACTATTTCATTGGGAGATGAAACACTTGTGTTAAAGTTAATATTTTATTTATTGTCTTGTCTTTTGTGTTTTTCTGAAACACTTGTGTTATTTATTGTCTTGTCTTTTGTGTTTTTCTAAAGTCATGTAATGGTACCTATAAATACATGTTTTTGAATTCTTTTGTAAGTAAGAAGTGAGAAAGAAAATTTATCAGAATTTGAGAGTTTTATATAAAAGTTGTGTATGTTCTTTCTTCGTATTGAGTGCGTTTATATAAAAGTTGTGTATGTTCTTTCTTCGTATTGAGTACATCCTACAAATTGGTATCAGAGCCTCTTTTATATATATATATATATATATATATATTGATTAATTAAGAAGGCGGGTGGCATAATTATAAAGATGGCGGTTAATTTGTGTGGCTTCCCGATCGATATATCAGCAGTTTCATACATATATATTTCGGGAATGATCTTCCTTCCGTGCCACTACTATATTCTGGAAAATCTAAAGAATTAATTCACACAAGACAAAGTTGGAAGTGTAGAGTAGGGTTGGTCGGGCATACAAATTAAGCTTTCTTTCTCATATTCGGACTCACCAAGCATATAATTATTCTTTTTATTATATATTGTTATTAGTTAGTGGTTATAGTTATTTCAATGAGCAAAAGAAATTTTTTTCTTTATTCTTAACCATGCATGATGAAATGTTCAATTGTGCGCTTACGTCTCCCGTGATGTTTAAAGTGATAATGCTGCCTCATTATGCATGGAAGAAATTAATGACATCAGAATAAGCATGCAATATTCTTGGATTTCCCAACTTAGAGGACTGGAATAAAGCTTCCAATTAATATTGTAGACATACATACATATATGAAATTTATTTCGAGACTAATCCAACTCTATTAGGATTACAGGCTAGGTAGGAGCTTTGGGGATGTTTAAAATAGCTTCTAATAGGTTTAACAACCCTCACTCTAGTGAGACACAATATCGTCCATTTTTATTTTTTGCAGGTCAGAGACTTTTCAGGGAGTCACACATTCTGGTACTACTCTAAATTAAGCACGCGTAACTCTAGAATTCTAGTAGATTCTAGAATTCTAGTAGATTCACGGCCATCACGACTTTAAAACGCGTTGTGTCATAAAAGGGTGTTGAATGTATGTAACGACCCACTCCACCACATGGTATGATATTGTCCGCTTTGGGCCTGAGCCCTCACGGTTTTGCTCTTGGGCTTCACCCCAAAAGGCCTCATACCAATTGGAGATGATGCACTTACATATAAGCACTTCACCTTTCCTCTACCCAGGCGATGTGGGACTTGTGCACCCGTAACTCGCCAGTGTGGTAGCCTGACAGTGTCTCTTGCACCCGCCCACGACACACCCGTCCACAAGGTCATCACAATCCACCCCCCTTGGAGGCCCGACGTCCTCGTCGGCACACTTCCGGCTGGGTCAGGCTCTGATACCATTTGTAACGACCCACTCCACCACATGGTATGATATTGTCCGCTTTGGGCCTGAGCCCTCACGGTTTTGCTCTTGGGCTTCACCCCAAAAGGCCTCATACCAATTGGAGATGATGCACTTACATATAAGCACTTCACCTTTCCTCTACCCAGGCGATGTGGGACTTGTGCACCCGTAACTCGCCAGTGTGGTAGCCTGACAGTGTCTCTTGCACCCGCCCACGACACACCCGTCCACAAGGTCATCACAATGTACATATAGCACTTGCCCCTTTCACACCCAGGCGATATGGGATTGTGCACTTGTAACTCGCCCAATGTAATAGCCTACTGATACTACCTACGCGCACATGCTCACACACACCCGCTTACAAAGTCATCACACTCCACGACCCAAGCTCGTTTATCAAAAGGTTCTGTAGTCTATTGATATCTTTTTTTTTTCTCTCTCAAAAGGGATAGTGAGGGTTTGAGTCGCCATAGAAATAAATATGTGTGTTAATTTATTGCCAATTGAAAAAAAAAAAAAGAAGAAGAAGATTACAAGTCACTTGTTAGCATTTCTAATGGTTCTTCTTGGCATATTATAAGCCTTCACCCCTTGTTAGAATCTGTCGACCCCTTTCATGTATGGACAAAAAAGATATATAAAATTAAAAAACAGTGGACTCCATTTCACTGTATCCAAACTATCACTATATATCCTTATTAATTCACTTATTTTCCCCAATAGAGATGTATGATTTGATCATTTCCTTGTAGTTGTTTGCACGCTTGTTATAACTTATACTCTTAAAAGGAAAAGAGGCATTTGCTTCCACATCCGAGCAAAAGTTATACTGTACTATATAGTGTTGACACTAAAATCAGCTAGCTAGAGCCGATCTTAAATTGAGGTAAAACGGGCGTGCCAGAACCAACTATATGGTTCAATTGTGGATAGTCAACTTATAATCTCTTTGAGAAATTGACTTTCAGACGATTATAGGAGAAAGAGAACAAAAATACTCCTTAATGAGTTCTAATTGCCTTAGTTAAAAGGACTTTTCAATGAATAACTTATAGTAACTATCAAGAGAATAGAAAGTGGAGGAAAATAGATATAGAAAGAATATAGAGAGAAAAAGATTTAGAGAGAAAGAGAGAGAATGAGAATTAAGAAGATAGGGATAGAGAGAAATAGCAAGGATGTTATTTTGGGAAAAAGCTTGAGAAAGCAAACAAATAAATTAAAGATTCTGAGAGTGCTGCACCTTTAGTACAACATCCTTTAGTACAGCATGCCTCCTTGTTTATTTCTAGAGAAGTACGTAAACTAACTTCCTAAATACAAGTATTCTAGCTATATTATAACTCTATAATATAATTGAATAATTATTCAAATAAAATCTAAACCTATCAATAACCCAACTAACTATAAATTCAAATTAAATTAACCGATTGATAACTTTAGAAATTAATTGCACCTAACTAAAACACAAATACTAAAATTACAATCCATATTTATCATCTAAATTCAAAATGCAGGCAATTTGTATTACATGTGGAATTGACCAATGCTTCCTTCAGTTAAAAGCCCAACCCTGCAATCGGCCCATACACTAAATCGAATTTCTTCTTAGCATCTAAACCCTTACCATGTCATTACACTTCCAGCCCACTTACAGCATTCTTCAGCCCAATTGCAATCTAAGCCCAACTACCAAAATAAGTGTCAACAATGCCCCCCAAATTGTGGCAGCCGTTTGTAAGTAGGTTTCCAAAATTTGAACTAAACCCATTTCTTTTCGTCGATATAGGAACCAGAGAGTCACCAATTACTCCATCTTCCAAGGCTATCGAATTACGTACCCTATCTAATCACTCATTAATTCTCGCAGTAACCCTTTAGTTTCCTTTCACATACGGCTCTTCTAACAAAATTACCTTTATCCTTTAAACACTTCATTGCAAACATCACTCTGTATCACATATCTCTCTCTGTAATTTTCATTTCCTTCATCAAATCAAACACTCCTTTTCCTTATTCATCATGTCTTTAAAAACACAAAAACAACATGCCGGTCTTGCTTTGGAAACCCCCATACCAGAATCTACTTCTCATACGTAAATGACCAAAAAAGCAATCAAAACCTTAACATCTTCTGAAGTCGATACTTCGATTCTTATTGATTTGCCCAACAACTCTAACGGCTTTGGCCCAGAGTTTATCAATTGATCGTCTCCATCATTGGCCTTCTTTTACCCCCAAGGAAAAGAACATCTTCCTTTTTCCAAACCGATTTACCAGATTGCAGAAGGCGAATGACCATCTTTATCAATCAGGAACTGGCACCCTCCCATACTTCAATGGAGTGAGTGGGTAGACCGTGTCTTTATAACAAAAGGTGAGCTGTGGAAATGCATGGGCATATTTGACATTATCCAGTTGAGTAAGATCCCTTTGACTTTAGATAGATCTCTATTTTTCGCATCTTTGCACTTCTGGTCTCCCACGACCAACTCACTACACTTGCACTGTGGGATGATATCTCCCACCCTTCGTGATGTATGTTTTCTAACTGGTCTCAAACCTTGAGGAGATGACATTAATTACCTTATTCAAGACCCTGAGACGACATTTAATTTCCCT